CACAACACAGCTGGGAGCCCAGCACCCGTTCTGGGAGCCAGGGTGGCTCTGCCCGTTGCCCTCGGAGGAGCAGGGCCAGCTTCCCCGCTCACACTCACCAACCACCTAGGTGGACCAGGACACCACACTTCCTAGGCGCCTTCCTTGTGCTCGTGGACGGCGTTCACACAGGAGTATGTGAGCTTGAACAGAAGACGACTTTCCAGGTCCTCTACGTTAACCGCGTGAGGCAGACCCTACTCGTTAGGGCACAAGAGCAGTGAGAACAGAAGACGACTTTCCAGGTCCTCTACGTTAACCGCGTGAGGCAGACCCTACTCGTTAGGGCACAAGAGCAGTGAGAACAGAAGATGACTTTCCAGGTCCTCTACGTTAACCGCGTGAGGCAGATCCCTACTCGTTAGGGCACAAGAACGGTGAGAACAGAAGACGACTTTCCAGGTCCTCTACGTTAACCGCGTGAGGCAGACCCTACTCGTTAGGGCACAAGAACGGTGAGAACAGAAGCTCCTGGAGAGTGACAGGACCATTTCCTGGCTGTCGCTAAACCGTGAGACACCCGAAGATACTCGAGGTCCCTCCCAACTGCAGTCACCAAGATGACCCTGTACGTCCCAAAGGCAATGGTGACAAGCCAGGAGGGATGCCAGGCAGAGGGGCAGAAGTAGCTACCTGCCCCCGACCCCCACAGGGCAGACGGAAAGGCACAACCGGCTGCCTCTGTCCAGCAGCAGAGCTGACGGGCACTGTCCTTGAACAGCTCCCCCAAAGTTACTTTTCTTTGTTCTTTTCAAATATCATTGTTACGAGTGTATATCAAGTGGAAAACTGGGCTGGGCGCAGTGGCTCACGCCTGTCATCCTAGCACTCTGAGAGGCCGAGGCGGGAGGATCACTCAAAGTCAGAAGTTCGAAACCAGCCTGAGCAAGAGCGAGACCCCCGTCTCTACTAAAAATACAAAGAAATTAATTGGCCAACTAAAAATACATACAGAAAAAATTAGCCGGGCATGGTGGCACATGCCTGTAGTCCCAGCTACTCAGGAGGCTGAAGCAGGAGGATCGCTTGACCCCAGGAGTTTGAGGTTGCTGTGAGCTAGGACGCCATGGCACTCTAGCCCAGGCAGCAGAGTGAGACTCTGTCTCAAAAATACAAAAAAGGAAAACTGGGTTGGGGCCTGTGACCTAAATCAAGCCCCCCCACCCAGGCCCACTCCCCCATGTCAGCAGGTGGGTGGTGACTACCCCAGAGCGACCCACCTGTGGCAACTCACAGAACCAGTCAGCTACCATACCAAATGCCTCAGTCACTGAGAAAACATCCAATCTGGATATGGTTTTGATTTGAATAAAGCTGTCCTTAAAAAAGTTTGCTTCTCTATAGCAATACAATGTTTTAAGAAGAGTGGAAAATGTAATGGACTGGGAAAGTGCATGAATGATAAACGCTACTTGACAGCTGTGTGCACCACGCAACCTGACAGAATTTCACATTCTTCAAAAAATGGTCAATCCCACCTGATAGCCAGGGAAACCGAGGCTCCCTCCCAGATCAAACGGCAATAGTGCCCTCAAGTAACAAAATCTACACTTTTAAGAATGTCCCTTATGCCAAAGTACTTGCTGCCAAAGTTAGCTAGCAGAATTTCAAACTCCCACAGCATCAAGCGTCAGGCCTTCCACACTGCGCCCCGCAGCCTGGGACCACCCCAGCCCCAAAGTGCAACCAGCCACTAGTGGACCCTCCCCCTCTCCCATAAACAAACAACACGGTTCACCATGGATGGGAACCAGCGCCCTAGGTGCCTGTCCTCACACACATATTAACACTGGCAGTGTTCCTTTTAAAATAAGCAGCATGCAAGCAGTCCCTGGCCAAGGCATTTAGGCCCGTGGCGAGGCAAGGGTTCTGTCCCGCATGGGGATCTACACTTCAGCCAAAGCAGAGCAACAGGAGAGTAGATTCTGCACAAAAGCCGAATGAACAGAGACGTACTGCAGGAAACGCCAACTTGCCGAGGCAAACGATAACCTTTAGAAAGGAGCATCTTCAACGTAACTTACCTATCCAAAGAGATCTTTCAAAACCACTTGCATGGATACTAATTTTGGTGTCACATCACTGTGTTCTTCTTTCAGCTATAATCACAATATGACTTCGACGTTACAGCCTTCCCCAGCTGCACACAACCAGCTAGTGCCTTTCGGTGCTCTGGGGACAACTGCATTGGCAACAACAGTCTTGCTAAAAGACCTGTGTTTTCTCGTTTTTCTCACTGTGAATGAAATTCAGACTGTGGCACCTCACGCCAGCTAATAACAATTACGTTAACATAAATGTCCCTTACGAAACCATCCTGACAAAGAGTATCAAGACAGTTTGCTAAAATCAAATGCAGCATGCGGTGAGCTAGGGGGATGAAACGCACTCAAGGCCTGGGACTTGGCCGGGAGGACTTCAGGGTGAAGCCTCCCTCATCCCTCCCCCCACCTCCACAAAGGGAAGGCCCTGGGGGAGGCCCTTCCACACTCAGTCCAATTGCCACCCACCTGCCACTCCACTTGACACCTACGTGCAGCCTGGGCGCAGGCCCCCCCCCACCTCCCAGCTCCGCTGACTTGTAACAAAAAACGAGTTGTTAGCCAAGCAAGAGTCACTTCTACCTTTGTCCTAAACACTTTTATTGTGAAAGATTTCCATGAAAAGGAAACATCAGCTAGAAGAATTTATTATTCTCTCATGGATCAGTTGTAAGAGGCAACCAGAATACCTATAATTTGCCATTCTGATTTATAAACTTAAGTTACACTAAAGGACTGAGGCTTGGAGCATTGGTAGTAGCTTTAACCTTACTTTTCTGATTTGGCTGTTATTAAAATAAATAACCTAATTAGTCAGAGTTCCTAATCGGCAGATCAAGTGAAGGGAGACATGAAGAGACAGATGTAAATCTTTTATTTTCCAGAAAGCACCGCTCTCAGCACTGTCACCCAAATGTCCCCATGAGCTGCTCTCTGCTCTCACATACATGTGGACTGACGCAGACTCATGAGAACTCATGCAAAGAACCAACTTCTACAGATGCCTTTCAAGTTATCCCCTAGTCAGATACAGCTGACCCTAAAACTAACCTGGAAACAGGACAGAAGTGGGTCCCAGGCTCACTCATGACAAAGATGGTGAAGATGCCCTTTTCCAACCCCTTCTTCCTCCTGCTCCCCAGACGGAAAAAGGGACGGGGCTTTACCCACGCAGAGGCTCAGAGCACGGGAACGCACCCGACTCCCCACGCCCAGTCCTGTCACCACCTAACGGTGCGCCAGGCGCCGGCCCCCGGCCCCAGGCTTCAGACCATGACGGGGCAGCACGGGCACATCTGGCTGAGGAAAGTTCATCACAAAATACACAGGACCACTGGACAGATATTAATTCACAACTAAATAAAAAGTATCATGATATTTCACATAATGGACTTCAACCGTGAAACGCCTTTTTAAAACATCACTAAAGACCAGCCACGTTTTCCACTAGAAGGTCAAAAATACACAAAATGAATCAAACAGAGCCTTCGATAAAACACCCCTGCACACTGCTCGGTGCCCCCAAAGTTTGTCATGAGGAGCATCTCGGCACCTCTTGGGTAGCTTCGCATCCCCTCTTCCTCCCCAGAGCGTGGAGGCCCCGGCGGCCACCCCACACACACTGTTCCTGGCGGTGGAGTCCCTGGCTCTGGCCCTACCCCCGCAGAGCCTGACCGCCAGCCCTGAACTTCACACGCCTTGACAGCAAAAGCTTTCACTTCCGAAGACGCTGCAATACTTCCAAAGCGGCCAGCAGCTCTCTCCAGAAAGCAGGAGGGGACGAGGGAAGGACCGGTGCTTGCCTTGCTGTTCCTACTACTGCTGCCACCGCGGCGCTGCTACAACCGCTACTACGGACCAGGGAGGAGCTCTGCACTGCCATCCAGGGAGGCTGGGCGGAGGGACAGCGAAGGTAGGACGCTCCCCCGCCAGGGGATCCCCAAACAAAAGCAGGCCGGCAGGCAAGTGCCCAGCAAGGAATCTTTCTCATCAAGCCTGAGGGGCCCTAAGGAACCCCAGAGATGACAGACTAGACCGGAGTGTGAAAACTGCCGGGGCTAAAGTGGTTTCTGAGTCCAGAGCACCAGCTGTGAATGTGCTGGGCTCCGGCGTCACCAGGCATCACCTGGACCACCCCAAGAACCCCGCATGGAGCAGACAGGGACTGACAGCCGCCCCCGGAAAGCAACGACAAAAGTCACTGGGTGTTCCTTTAGACACTGACACTGCACTGAAAGGACCGTGAGACACAAGGTGCTGACACACTGCTCCAGAGCAGGGTGTTCAGCTAGGCTGCCTGCTGGGGCTCTCCCAGGCTGAGCCTGACATCTCTGCCTGCCAGGTGGCAGCAGGGACGTCTCAAGGAGGGGCATCACCGTGCAGTGACCTCACCTGCACAAGGGGAGATCCCTAGCCCAGGGTCACACGGGAGCAGGGAACCCAGTGAGGACACAGACCACACCTCTAACTGCAGAAACTAGGCAGGGCAGCCCACACTGCTGGCGGCCAGCTCCAGCACTGGAGAAGCAGCAGACCCCGGCACAGCCCTGAACTCTGTAGAGCACACACCTGCTCCCAGGACGCTCTGGGGGGTGTGGAGCCCACACTGGGCAGGAGCAGGAGGGGACCCACTCAAGAAAGAGTCCCTGGTGGAGCAACTTTGAAATGCAGACCAGGACCAAGACACACGACAGCCAGCCAGGATGTCAGGGACAGGGAGGACAGACGCACGCACCACTCACACCCACTCGCTCGCTCACTCACACGGGGCAGAGGCTGCGCCCCCACCCCGCCCGGCCGCCCGCCCGGACACAGGGCCTGCGGGACAGATGACCTTAGCCTTTCAGCGGCTGAGAACTTCCTGGAAGTGGCAGCTGGCGCGGCTCAGACCCGCCCTTCCCTCCGCCCGCGTCCACTCACCTGGGGGCAGCTGGAAGTTCTGGATGTTGGTCGGGTTCTGCGGCGGCTGCGGCAGGCGCGGGGCCAGCACGGTGGGCGTCAGGTGGCTCGGATCCCGCCGGTGGTGGCCGCGGGCGTGCGGGCAGGCTCTGGGTCGCGGCGCCCGCCGCGCCTTTGGGCAGCCCGTGGGTCCGGGCGGGGCGGCGGGACGGCGGGGCCGGGCAGCGCCCCTTGCATAGTTGGCCCGAGGATCATGCCGGCCGCGCTGCTGGCCGGGCCGCCGGCCGCCAGGGTCTGCGCCGGCGGGGGCGCCGCCTGCACCACGGTCTTGGGCGACTCGGCCTTGACCCCGCGCGGGCGGCGCGGCGGCGCGCCGGGCCGGGCTGGCCGCTGCCCTGCGGGCCCCGGCGGCGGGCGGGCGGGGGCGCGCGGCGCTGCCCCCGTTCTGGCGCGGCGGCGCGCGGCGGGGGCGGCGGCCGGGTCCGGCGGTGGCCGGCGGCCGGCAGGGCGCAGGGGCGGGCGGCGGGCGGCGGCGCGGGGCGGCGGGGGCGAGGGCGCGGCGGGCGCGGGGGGCGCGGCGCGCCAGGAAGGGGGGCGTCTGGATGACAGTGCCGGGGGCGGCGGGCTTGGGCAGCGGCGGCGGCGCGGGCCCGTTGTTGACCAGGCTGACAGCAGGTGCGGCGGCGTGGTGCGAGTTCAGCAGCGCGGCGCTCCCATTCAAAGTTTGCGCGGCGCCGGGGCCGGCGGGCTTGCCGGGCCGGGCCGGCGGGCCCGGCGGCGCGGCGGCCAGCGCGGCGGGCCGGCGCTTGGCGGGGCGGCGCGGGCTCGGGCCCCGCGGCGCGGGCGGGGCGGCGCAGGCCCGCGCTGCCTCGGGCGGCGGCTCAGCTTCGGGCGGGCGGCGCGGCCTGCGGGACAAGGGGCGGCGCGGTGAGCGGCGCGGCGCGCGCCCCCGCCCCCGGCCGCGCTCTACCTGCGGGGCGGTCCGCGCGCTCGGGCGCGCCCTCGGCGGGGGCGGCCGCCCGGCGCCCCGGCTCGGCCGGCTGCCGCTCACAACATGGTTCCGAGCGCGCCGGCGGCCGCGGCCCGCACCTCGGGCGTGCGCGGCGCCAGGTGGTGGTGGTGGGCCGCGCTGGCCGCCAGCTGCGACTCGAGCGAGCCCACCAGGTCGCTCACCACTTTCTCGTCCACCTCGCTGTTGAAGAAGACCTCGTCCAGCAGATCCGAGCCCGCCGCCATCTTTTTTCCTCGGCCGCCGCCGCCGCCGCTCGGCCGAGCGCGCCTGGGCGAGGAGGAGGCCCGCGCGGGCGGCGGGGGCGGGCGGCGGCGCGGCGGCGGGGGCGGGGGGCGCGCGCCGGCGGGGCGGGGCGAGGCGCCGTGCGCAGGCGCGGACCGCCGGCGCCGCCCATTGGCTGCAGCGCGCGCTTAAAAGGCGCGGCCAATGGCTGCGAGCGCTAGTGCCGGGCGCGGGCGGGCGGCCGGGACGTCGCGGCGGCGGGGACTGGGGTGCGGGGCCCGGGTAGCGGGGCTGGCGGGCGCGGGGACGGACGGACGGGCGGGCGGGAGTCGCGCCGGGCCGTGCTGGGGCCGCAAAGGGCGGCGGCGGGCCCGGCCTTTGTCTGCCCCGCTCCAAAATGGCTGCGGCGGCTGACGGGGCGCCGGGCGGCGTCGTGGCCGGCCAGGCCGCTGTGCGCGGTGGCGATGGCGGCGGCGGCGCGAGGCCGCCCTGGGGACGCCGCCTGCGGGTCGGGAGCGCTGTGCTGGGCCGGGAGGCGCGCGGAGGAGCCGGACGGGCGCTGGACCTCCGCGCTCCGGGCCGGGAGAACTGGCGGGCGGCGGGGAGGGCCGCGCGCTCGGCCGCCTCGCCTCGCCCGCAGTGGAGGCCGCCCGCAGGCTCGCCGTCCATCTTGGGTCCGTGGGCCGCGCGGCCGTCCCCTCAGCGGCTGCTCCGACGAGGGCGCCCGACGCGCCGCCGGGGAAGAGGACGGTGCCCCCCGGGCGCGAAGTGGGTCCCCGCGTGCGAGGCCGGAACGCCTGAAGTAGCTTTCTGCGCTTAATTTACTGTTTTGGAGGTTGGTGGGAGTGGATTATCCGCAGCCATGCTTAGCAGCACCTTAGAGACGGGAGCGTTTCGGTTAAAAGTCCCAGCGCCCTCTTTCCGGGCGGTTCTTTGTTTTTTACCAAAAGGTAGCGTTATTAGACATTTCTAGGGGTTTTCTTTTCTCCCACTTTTCCGTAAAAGCCCAGAAACGGTTTCCAGAGAGGAAAAATGCTTGTCCCGGACCCCCGCCCCACGCGAGGCCCCCGGCCGTCCCCGCTGAGGGCGCGGTGGCTCTCGGCGCGGGCCGCCGCCCGGCTCGTCCTGCTGGGCCCGTCCACTGCGGCCTCAGACTGCGGCCCGGCAGCTGGAGACAGCACTGTGACTGCAGCAGCACCGCCAAGGAGCAGCGCAGATTGGAGCCGGAAAGGTGCCTCCCCTAGGGAAGAGCGTTCGGGGGAAATCCTATAAATGGACAACCGGAATGTTGTAGTTGGACTTGAGGCAGGAAAGGAGGAGAGCAGGCTGGGTACGAAGAAGCAGGGGGTGGGGAGGTGTGTGCGCACGTGGGGGAACCGGGGCAGTCCAGTGGGCACCCAGAGCTCAGCGTGGGAGGCCGGTCTGAGTTTTCCAAAAAGTGCAGAAATTTGGAGTAAGAACTCAGAATTTTTAAATGTTGACAAATAATTAGGATTTTTTTTTTTTTTTTTTTTTGAGACAGTCTTGCTCCGGGCTAGAGTGTAGTGGCATCACATAGCTCACAGCAGCCTCAAACTCTTGGACTCAAGGGATCCTCCTGTTTCAGCCTCTCTCTCCAGTAGCTGGAACTACAGGTGCAGACCTCCATGCCAGGCTAATTTTTATATTTTTTTGTACAGATGGGGTCAGGCAGGTCTTGAACTCCTGGCCTCAGGCAGTCCTCCCACCTAAGCCTCCCAGAGTGCTAGGATTACAGGCGAGAGCCACTGTGCCTGGCCTTAATTAGAATATTTTAAAGTAGGTCAAACCAGACGGTAGGAAGGCAGGCCTCAGCCCCACGTGCAGCTTGTGTAGTGAGAAACACCAGGTGTGCGGCACAGCCTGTACCCTCAAACCCTTCAGATTGGAGTCGGGGCAGAAGGAAACAAGCAGCTGTGCTACAAGGCAGAACAACGCAGGATGTCCCATCAAAGAGACACCCAGGTCCCAAAAGCCCACGTAGCTTTGGGGGTTCCTGTGCTCACACCCCCACCCTTCAATCCACTGTGGCCACACTATGAGATCTCATAAAAGTCAGTGGTGCCGCCCCAGAGTGGTGGCTCCTGTGTTCTCTCCAGAGGCCCTGCCAGGAGCCGCCTCCTGTGCTCATGCCTTTGTTGACATCACCCCCAAAGTCCTCTGGAGCACCTCCAGCCCAGCAGCTGTTGCCAGGTTAAAGGTCAGGGCCCACCTGACCCAATTTCCCTTGCAGAAAGGTCTCGTATGCACTAAAAGGACCTGGGAGAGGTGGGAGCCATGGGCAGCTTAGGCAGTGGTGCTGTGTCCCTGCTGCAACCCCCCCCCCCAAGCTGGAGGATGAGGAAGCTGCATGGCTCCTCCTCATGTGTATGGGGGGAGGGGGACACTGCCACCCTGTTGGCCTTGGTCACCCTGAGGGAGGGCTTGGGCCAAATTTTCTTTGGATATCTCTATATGATTTTACTTGTTGCCACAGCTGTTATGACCCACAATTTAAAGGAAAAATCCCACCTAGCCTAAAAAAAAAAAAAGAAAGGGGGAATCATATAAGTACTGCGCGCTAACCGATTGCGCCACTGGAGCTTATAGAAAGGGGGAATCAAAACAAGTGTAAATTGTGGAAAAATGTTTGCTGTGAGAATGGCAGAACCGCAAAACAGCACATCCTCGCTGCACGTGTGCAGGGCTGTGCGCAGAAACGCAGCTTCCCAGGCCGCAGCTCTGTGGACATTCTAAATTTATTAAGCGGTATATCATCTTTTGCAATAAAACGGAGGATCAGACTCGCTCACTAAAACATAATAAACGTAACCAAGAGTCACTGGTTTCAGTGTTGCTCTGCCAGTGTTTGTTGTGCTACTTATGCTTTTGTTGTCTGCCTGAACTCCTTCCTCATAAAACAGCTTTATTTAAATTCAGCTGGTGGCCTGAGGCTGTTCCCGAGTGCCATTTCCTGGGTGACTCCACCAGCCCAGCTGCCATCATCCCTCCTCCTTGCAGACTCAGGGGGTGTATCTGTGGTCAGAAGCAGATCCGCATCCCAGGAGGAACTCGAGAGCACATAGCTGCTCCATAGTCAAAGGTGTATGCCTGTCCTAGGGCGCCACAACAAATCATCACAAACTCGCACACCTAAACAACAGGATTTCATTCTCTCACAGTTCTAGAAGCCAGAAGTCCACAATCAAGATGTGGGCAGGGTTCGCTCCCTCCGCAGGCCCTGGGGGTGGGGGGGTCCTTCCTCCAGCCTCTGGGGGCTCCAGGTGCTCGGTGGCCACATGGCTGCAGTCTCTGTCTTCATCTGCCCTTCTCCCTGTGTGTCTGTGACCTCTTCTTGTAAGGTCACTAGTCATGAGATTTGGGGCCCACCTAAGTTCAGAATGATTTCATGACAAGATCTGTGACTAATTGTATCTACAAAGACCCTACTTCCAGATGAGGTTACATCCTTGTGTTCTGGCTGGACATGAATTGGGGGTGCGGGGGGAATACTGTTCAACCCAGTACACCAGGAGACTCATTTGTGTACTTCTGGAGAGACCTTTGAGAAATCAGAAGGCGCTCGTAGGCGTGCCCCGCCCCTTCACCCTGGGACTCGAGGCTGGAGTCCACTGGTCAGGACAATCCCTTCCCTGCCCTGCTTTCCCAGGAGAATGAGGCTCAGATCTGCTCCACCAAGGCCCCCTCACCAGGGACGGCTCCGGTGGCCACCAGCAACAATCAGGACAGACACACTGAGCACTCCCTGTGTGCCAGGCTCAGCCTGGTGTGCAGGTGAGGGGCTGTAGCTCGAGGTTAAGTGAGTGCCCCAAGATCTCATTCTTGGGAGGGACAGAAACCTGGGACCCAGACCTGAACGCTGACAGGCCCCTCCATCCCCACACCAAGCATAGATCGGATGCCTGCTTGCTGAATTAGAGTCAGGCCTGCTTCCTCTCTCAGACTGACCTAGATCTCCCGAGTGGGGCTGTCTACAAACTCGCGAGTGACTCATGGCAACAGCCTCTTGGCTGACTCCCACAATGGCTAACTAGAGCCATCGTGCATGGATTTTACTAGCGTAAGTCGGGAGAGCTCATTTCAAAGTTCAGGAGAGAATGGCCCTCTCCTGGCGGCACTCCAAGGAGTCAACTTTCTTGTCTGTCTCCTGCACCTCTGAGCAGGAGCAAGGAATGGCGTTATCCCCAGGAGAGGAGCCTGCGGGCCTGTGGGCTCCTCCCCCAGGGAGGGTCAGCGCTGCTGGGCTTCACTTCCCAGGCACGGTGCCCATCGGGTGGTTTCTTAGGATTGCCTGTTGCTTTGGTTACCTAAAATAGCTTGCCCATTGTCCAGCTCACATGCCCAGTTTACAAAACCCAAGCCCTGATCCCTGAAAACCGTCCTCCTGAAAACCTTTAGTATTGTGGCAGGTGCTTTGGAAGATGCACCAAACCACAGGTTTTGTCACTGATAATGTGAATTTACGAAGTGTTGAATAAGTGATGTGGTATGTAAAGCTAAGATACTAGATGATGACCATTACATTTCAATTAGAATGTAATAAAGGAAACTTTTTTTTTTTTGAGACAGAGTCTCGCTTTGTTGTCCAGGCTAGAGTGAGTGCCGTGGAGTCAGCCTAGCTCACAGCATATCACACTCCGGGCTCAAGCGATCCTGCTGCTCAGCCTCCCGAGTAGCTGGGACTACAGGCATGCACCACCATGCCCGGCTAATTTTTTCTATATAATTAATTGGCCAATTAATTTCTTTCTATTATATAGAAGACGGGGTCTCACTCTGCTCAGGCTGTTGACTCCTGACCTAACAATCCCCCGCCTCAGGCCTCTAGAGTGCTAGGATTACAGGCGTGGAGCCACCATGCCCGGCCAAGGAAATTTTTTTTTTGAGACAGAGTCTGGCTTTGTTGCCCAGGCTAGAGTGAGCGTGGCGTCAGCTAGCTCACAGCAACCTCCAAACTCTGGGCATCGAGCGATCCTTCTGCCTC